ACTTGTCCAAGGAGAAGTAGGAAGTGTGCCACAGAGCAAGGTCTGCCCAGTCTGCTACCTGTCTCTGATTTATTTGCTTTTGAAGAACTGGTATCACAGCGTGGCGCACCTACTGTTCGTGGTGGGTTTATCTAACTTTAAAAACTTTCCATCAAGGTAATTTTGGCTGGGGTCTTTTTGTTGTTTGGGGTGGTTTTTGTGGTTTGACTACTGGCAGTGTTGGAGGCTGAAGTTCTTTATGTGTTTGGGTAGTGACTACAGTACAAATTTTCTCCAACTGCCCTGCCTTTTTCTTCTCAATGTAGAGAGGTGAGCTGCGGAGAAGCATACTTGCTTCATGCTTTCAGCTCTAAGAGAGCTGCCATCAAGCCAATTGCAGTGACAGTTTCTTGTGACATGAAAAGCGTTTTTAAAAAGCTGAATTGGGACAACATGCTGAATTTCATGGAAGCTAATGGGTTTGTCTCAAGTGGAGAGGAGTTTTTGGTCCTTGTTGGCCTAGTGCAGACTCTGAGAGATGCAGATGCAAGTAGCCGACTGGCGTTCCCTTCGGGGTGTCCCCTCATGATAGCCAGCTCTGATGTTTGACCCCTTTATCAGCATGACTGGAGGGAAGGTAGGAGCAAAGCCCGGGAGGATGAAAGGCAGACATCTCCTATGCATGGTTTGTTATTGGGCTTGAATAGCTGCCTCCGTACTGGAGACTGGGGCCAGAGGACAGTGATCAAGCCTTGTTCCCAGGCAGGAGAAATGCTTCAGGGTGGGCTGATGATCTGATAGCAAAGAGCAGCACTGCACTTGGCACACATTGCAGCCCATGCTGAAACCGGAAGGTTTCTGCCCAGAGTACCCAGGATCATGTTGGTACACAGGGGCTTGACCATGAAAAGGGAACAGAGTCTTGCTTCCCAGGGCTTGCAAGCCTCTGCGGTGCCATAAAGACCTTGGGGAGAGTCCGTGTCACTTCCAGTCTCCCTCACATGCTAGCTTGAAACCGTCACCTTCCCCTGTGCAAACGCACGGTAGCTCCCCTTCCCGCTTACAGAGGCACTTCCTACATCCCCAAAACAGATCGGCACCACACTGTAAGAGGAGTTACCACCTTCTGGGTTTGCTCTCGGATGGCAACGCTGCTGGAGTTAGAGATGGAGTTGTTCTGCACTCGCCTGCAGAGTGTGTCAGCAAGTGTGTGTATAAAGTGGTTTTAATGATGGATGGATAATGGCAAATTCCTAACGGGGGTATTATTGTGTATGTGATTTTTAAAGAACCCCAACACTAGTTATCTTGTTATCAGAGTTTGATGCCAGGGTCATTTTTTTTGTGTGTAAGGTGCTTGATGGAAATCAGTGCGAAAAGCAGAGGCCCCCCCCCCGCCACTGCTGCCCTGGCACCAGGGTCTCCTGGCCCTTTGGCAGCGGTGAGCCCGTCAAAATTTGTCTCTTGGACCAGCTGCTGCTGGACAGACCTGCTGCTAATGGCAGTTTTGATGTCAAACCCACGTGGCGATTGTACAGTCTCTGGCTTTGGAAAATACTGATAAAATGCTGATAGTAGCATGTTCAGAGGACGGAGGCACGTTGTTTGTGGCCTGTCCTGCGTGGCACAGTCTCAGCCGCTGGGCCAAACCGGGCGTGGGGTTCCCGTGGAGCATCTGCTCTGCGCCCGCCGCGCTGCCGAGGCTGCGGCTCTGGGGTCGGCCGAGCCCCCTGC